CACATGGCTGGCTGGTGGATGGATATGTGAAATCCAGTGTAACTGATAAATTGTGGGAAGGAAACTGGCTGAGCTTTGAGGGAATGGTGGGAGAGTGTGGAGTGACTGATCAGAGAGAGGGTTATGGCTGATGGTTAGGGGTCATGACTAAATGGGAAAGGGGAAGTGAGAGGCTCAAACAGAAAGGCAATGGTTGTATTTCAGGGCTCCAGGTAGTGAAAGGCTGTCCAATGCTGAGGTCACTTTTCCCTGAAGCCCTGGGTGGTGGCACCAGGAATATGGGTCAGGTAGACCCAAGCAACCCCAGCCATTGCTCAATTGTCCTCCTGTGAGCCTCACTAGCCCCATGGCATCCTTACCCTCTCCTGTCCACCAGGCTGTGAGCTCCCACAGGTGGGCCTGGATCACACTGCCTTCCTTCACACGTCTGAGAGAACTTCTTTCAAGAGAAGGCTGGGAATTTGAGAGACTCTGCCACAGGCCAGCATCCTGCATCCTAATTCCTGCCCTGGGGTGGGCTCCCAGCAGACTGGATCTTCGGTGTAACGAGCAGAGTGGAACAGAGTGAGACATGCATTGGACCCCAGCTCTAGGACCTATTAGTTGTGAGAGGCATGGTTTCCCTGGTGAGTTACCTCTTGTTCCTGAGACCTAGTTTGTCATCTATAAAATGTTCATACCCCCTTGCCCAGGATCAAATGAAGGAGAAAATACTGAATGTCGGCCCATGGCTCAGGCCTAGCGCAATAAGTGCCACCATTGAAATCATCATCGGCACAGCATTGGCGTGGACAAGGGCCCACTGGGCCACAGCAGCACCCACTAATGGGGTGAGTGGGTAGAAGATGCAGGAAGCAGGTTTGGCTGGGCGGGACAAGTACAGGATGGGCTTGCTCACAAGCCAAGAAGATACAGCAAACTGAATATCCCAGGAAGTGGGGATGAGAGGAAAGCAAAAGTCTCGCTCACCAAGAGCATGAGTGAGTGATCAGGCCAGCTCCAGATAGGACCACCCCCCAACACTCGCTGGGGACTTGGGCTTCCACTCTGGGATACGGGACACCTCAGGGTCCCACTCCAGGCTCTGCCTCCGACTCGCTCTCAGCCATTGGGTTTTCCCTCTCTTGGTTCCGAGAGCCCTGCTTCCCTCAGTCTGCAGCTCACTCTGCTTCACCCTGTTGGCAACACTTTTCAGTACTCCTCCCCCAGTGCCCTCCACAGCTCATGCCCCCAACTCCCACCGCCAGCGGCTTCCAGAATCTTGGCCTAGGAGCCCCAGCCCTCCTCTCCTCCTAGAGGGAATGGTGGTGACCAGAGCAGGGTCTCAGGCGAGGCCTAGATTGAGGAGGAGGGTTGGAAGAACAAGGCCCTGGGCCTGGCTGGAAGGTTGAGGTGGGCCCAGAGCCAGGGGACCAGACAGCCCAGGTGAGGTCTGGACAGGCCCTGCACAAAGGGCACACCTGATACTAGGCCAGGTCTCTGAGCAAGGCCGAGTCTCGGGCGGGAGGCTCCTGAAGTGAAGCCCTGGGCTGGGCCAGGCAATCAGAGGAGGACCTCAGTGACCCCACTAGGAGGGGTGGCAGCCACACAGGGACTGGCAGGGATGAAGTCTGAGCAGGCTTCCTAGCGGGTGCTCTGCAAGAAGCCACGAGAGGAGAGGCAGCTCAGCTCCTGCCTGGCCGGATGGGATGGGATGGGATGGGATGGGATGGGATGGGATGGGATGGGATAATTACCTTGGGGGAGGGTTTTCTTCCCTCCCAGCCTCAAGGCTTTCTCAGACTGTCCATGCTGGTTACCATCTGCTGTGGTGGTTGCTAGGGAACCACTTACTATTTTTATATGTTTCCCACATGACAAGGCTGTGGAAAGGCTCAGGTGTGGTAGGTTCAGGAGTGATCCTGAAAGCGATGCCCACAGGGTTGGGCTTGGAGATTTGGCTAGAGGTTGGCAGCTGTTCTGATGCCCTAGGAAGGGTTCCGGGATTCAGACCCACATCCCTGAGTGTGGGTGGGAGAAATCACCAGGGAGAGGGGTGACGTGGGTGTGAAGGTACCAGTGCGTGCATTCATTCATTCATTCATTCATTCATTTTGTCAAACACAGGAGGTGCTGGGCATTGTACTAGGTTGGCTCAGGACTGAGGGGTTTCCTGGGATGCAGGACTTCCAGTGCAGAACCTGGAAAGCCCAAAAAGGTTGGCCACTCTAGATGAGGCTCTCCCTGTTTGGGGAGACAGGATCATAAATAGACAATTACAGCAAAGTGGGTGTCAGCTGCCAGGGACCCCAGAGTAGGGGAAGTTTCCTGGCAGAGGTGCATCTGGATTGAGTCTTATAAGAAGGAAATATAATTCTTAAAGCAAAAAAATAAAAATGACAAGTAGATGCGAAAGTAGGGATCAATAGGCAGCAGGCTGTGGGCTCCAGGATCTTGTTTCTTTCTTTGGGTCCTGCAGACGCACAATGATGTAAATCCCCAGCCAGCCTGTGTCCCTCCCCTGCGCTGCACCGCCGTGTGGAGCCTGTTCGGGCTCCCTGGGTCTCTGTGTGTTTGGTTCTGGTCAAGCCTGATCTGGGGTCTCCACATGAGATTCTCATTCAGAAAAGACCCTTACTGGGGTGAGGAGGCCTGTGAAGTGCAGGGCAGGGAATGGGCAGAGCTCAAGGTCCTGGGGAAGGAGCGGGGAAACAGTGGTCCTGGGCCGTTCCCAGGTCCTGACAGTGGAGGCCTTGCCCACTCTGCAGAGATGGGCCCTAAGGAATGGAGTCCTGCTGCTTCGTGATGCAGGAAATGGGCGGCACATACGTGAGTCATCGCTTGAGTGTTCTGAGGACTTCTCACCATTTGTGTACATTCCTACATCATTTGTTTTGGGGCAGAAAATCCCAGTGAGGACTAACTACCTCAGCCACATGAACAACTTCGGCCTGAATTCCAAGCCAAAGAATTCTGCTTAATAAGTTCCAGGCCCGTTAGTCTTGGATGGCCATCAAGTTTCCTGAGCGGGACCCAGGAATTCACTGTTAGAGTCTCTAGTCTGGACACACTAAAGAGTAAAGCAGAAGTCAAACCTGGTCCTCAGAAAGTTCTCCCAATGGGACTGGTGAGGCAAAAGGCAGCCTTTCTCCAAGTACTTCTGGGCCTATCTGTATCACAGTCTCCCGGGAGCTCATTAAAAATGCAGTTCCAAGCCCTGGCTGCTGAAGCTGTTGGTTGAGCATGTCCCATGCACCAAAAGGTCACCAGTTTCTGGTCAGGGCCCATGCCCGTGTTGCAGGCTCAGTCCCCAGTAGGGGGTGTGCAGGAGGCAGCGATTGATGTTTCCCTCTCTCTTCCTAAAATAAATAAGAACCATTTTTTTTTTTAATGAAGTTTGCAGGCCACGTTCTAGAACTACCTGGGGCCTGGACTCAACATTCTGTCACCCTAGGAGATTCTGCTGCTAAATGTACAAATTCTCTTTTGGGGGTAGCTGCTATTTATTTTAATGAAAGACTAAGTTTTTGTGTCAAAGAAATTAATCTCTACTATAAAATCTCCAGGATGAATCTATAACAGGGATCCTCAACTTTTGGACCAGATAACTGCTTATCCTGGAGGACTGTCTTGTGCATTGTAGGGTGTTCAACAACATCCTGGGCACCAGAGACCAGTCATGACAACCACAAATTTAAAAATAACTCTGGACACAAGCAAATGTCCATTAAAGGGGAAAATCCGCCATACCTCGCAAGACTTCCCAAAGGCCTTCCTCTTGCAGCTCGGCCACCGACATGCCATCCAGACTCAGGAAGACCCGAAAACTTCGGGGCCACGTGAGCCACGGCCACGGCCTCATCGGCAAGCACAGGAAGCACCCAGGGGGGCCGCGGTAATGCTGGTGGCTTGCATCATCACAGGATCAACTTGGATAAATATCACCCAGGTTACTTTGGGAAAGTTGGTATGAGGCATTTCCACTTAAAGAGGAACCAGAGCTTCTGCCCGACTGTCAACCTTGATAAACTGTGGACCCTGGTCAGTGAGCAGACATGGGTAAATGCTGCCAAAAGCAAGACTGGAGTTGCTCCCATCATTGATGTGGTGTGATCAGGCTACTACAAAGTTCTGGGGAAGGGAAAGCTCCCAAAGCAGCCTGTCATTGTGAAGGCCAAGTTCTTCAGCAGAAGAGCCAAGGAGAAGATGAAGGGTGTTGGTAGGGCCTGTGTCCTGGTAGCTTGAAGCTACGTGGAGGGAAGTTCCATTAAAATGTCCAAGTACCTTTAAAAAATAAATAAATAAAAATAAAATAAAGGGGAAAATCCTCCTTCAAAAAGGATTTCCTTTTGAAATCAGACCCTAGTCTAGTGTGTTGGGTGTCCTTCACTGTCCTTGGAATGACCTCCAGGCCAGGCTCTGCCCACACTGGACCCAGCCCGCCTCACCACTTTCCAGCTACAGTTCACTCTCTCCTGGCAGTGGAGGAAAGCCAGACCCTTTACTACCTCCCTCTCCCTTTCTCTATCATCCACCTACCCCTCAGCTCTCTGCTCATGGATGCCCCCTGCTGCCCGGCCCCCTCACAGGCAGGGGAGACAGAGCAGGAGGCTCCCCCTTCCTTGTAAGTGGTGCTGATGAGGTTCCAAGCAGAGGGCATCTGTGGAAGAATTCTTTTGTGAAAATAAGTTTATTTCTGTGCTTATTCTAAAGCAAACATGGTCACAGTAAGAAATTTGGCAAGTAGAGAAAAATATAAAGAAGAAATAAAAGTCACTGGTTAATTCAACCACCCAGAGGGACGCTTAGAGCTGTTATTAGCACCGGGCTGGCGTGTGGGCAGGAGACCCAGGTGGACAGAGCACGTGACCCAGGACAGTAAAGGCATTCGGGTTCCCAGTCAGACATCTGCTTCATTCAGACCCAGGTGACCAGAGAACCAGGCAGCCGATCTTGTAGACTTCGCCCCAGAGCGTGTCTCTGCCTCACCCTCCCAAGAACCTGCTCCTACAGACAGAACATCAGAGCTCGTCCTTTAGGTCAAAATGGGGCTGGTCTTCAGGCTTGAAGTCCAGGTTGGGGCTGCCGTCCTCGTTGAGGATCCTTCGGGCCGTGTAGCCGACGATGGGGTATTTGGCTTTGTACACTCTGCTGAAGACGTCATCCAGGGCTTTCAGCTCCTCGCCCGTGAGGCCCGTCTTGAGGAGAAAAACCCAAGAAACGGGTGGGGGGTGGGAATGAGGCAATCATGTTTGGCAAGGCCTCTTGCCAACCCCGCCCTACTCTCCCCACTCTCCTTGTGCAAGAGATAAAAACACCTCAAAAACCAAGTAATGGACAACTGACTTTGTAAGTGACAACCCTGTGGGGTGGGGAGTGATGTGGGGGGGGGGAGGGGGGGGAGGGGAGGCAATGGCTTCATTGTGTTTTTCTATTGGACTAATGTAGGCATTCAGGACCCCAGAAGACACCCAGCCTGGGACAGGACGGGGGTGCACTGGTTCACTCCACGGCTCCCTATGTCCTCCCATTATTGAGTTATGCACCCTCCTAAGTTCTTACTTTGTTTCTGTGATGTGGCGGTTTCAGAGCTTGGCTCATCAGAGCACAGCTGGGTGAAGGCCAGCCTTTCTGTTGGGATTACACAACCACTGAGGTGGCTCTAGTTCGTGCTTCCTTCTCCTTCACAGAAATGTGAGCGTGTGGGAGAGTCAGCTTCTCAACCCCCTTCATCCCCTAAGCTACTGAGGGTGGCCTGGGGAGAGGGTCACAGAGGCTAACAGCAAATCTGTAGGAGGTGGGGGTGGCAGTGCTGGGGCTGGGGCTGCCAACGCCGGCTGGAGCCAAACTGTGACGCTCCCTAACATGATCATGAGTTCACGAGTTTGGACTTGACCCTGGGGAGCCACGGAAAGTTTCTGACCAGGAGTGGCACCGTAGGATATCTACCTCAAGAAAACAGTTGGCCGCCACACCAAGTGGACTGGAATGCAGGCTAGTTAGGAAGTTTTGAGAAAGAAGAAAGAAAGGGAGGGAGGGAGGGAACGAAGGAGGAAGGGAGGGAGGGGGGAGGGGGGAGAGAGAGAGAGAAAGGAAAGAGAGAGAGAGAGAAAGGGGAGAAAGGGGAGAAAGAAAGAGAGAGAGAGAGAGAGAGAGAGAGAGAGAGAGAGAGAGAGAGAGAGAGAGAGAGAGAAAGAAAGAAAGAAAGAAAGAAAGAAAGAAAGAAAGAAAGAAAGAAAGAAAGAAAGAAAGAAGGCAGGCCATGGCCAAGGGGGTTAAACACTAGACAGAGGCCCAGAATCTGGCTCACAGTGTCATGGGTGAGGTCTGCAGGATCCAGGGACATCTTGGCTACTCCTCTGGTGGAGTCCTTCCCGGCCAAGGCATTGTAGGGGGCTCCTCGTCCATAAAACTCTGCGGTGGGGAGGAAGGAGCGGGATGTGGGTGTGGGTGTGCACCCAGGGCAGCCAGGCGGCTGCATGTGGCAGTGGCTGGAGGGGCTGGGGGTCTGAGAACCAACCCGATCCTAAGAAAGGTTCCAGGCTATAGGAGAGGGAAGGCAGTAATCCCTAGCCATCAGTTGGGATTCGAGTAATTCAGAATGTGGAATGAGTCGCATATTGCTGGGCTGAGATACAAAAATAACCTCTTAAAAATATTTAAAATCCAAACAAGAAAAATGTTCAGTTTTCTTAAACCTTGGGAGAACCACCCTGGCCAGTTGCTCAGTGGTTAGAGCGTCAGCCCACAAACCAAAAGTCATGGTTTGATTCCTGGTCAAATAGGTGTTTCTCTCCCTCCTCCCCCTACTTCCATTCACTCTCTAAAAAAGTAATGGGAAAAAATATCCTTGGGTGAGGATTTTTTTTTAAATGTTGGTAGAATCTAAGTTATTTCCATTCCATATCCTTTGTTTGGTATCAGACAATGAACCATGACAAAACTACTTCTAAAGCATTTGTAGTTACCAGTTGGGAAACCATGAAATGACATTAAAATGTTGTACGATCCCAACTCTTTGTAACATTTTTCCTCTCACTGCTTCAACTAGGGTAAATCATTAAATACAGATTTGATTTGGGGGCAAAGGACTTGCCCCACGTTCCCTCCTTCTCCTCACCCCTCCAGGGCCCACCCTGCTGAGCTCCCTAGAAGTAAGGACTCAGAAAGCCAAGCCACTTACCCTTCCCAGAAGTGACATCAAACACCACGCCCTTCACCGCCATGTAGATGGGCTGATCTTCCTAGAAAGCAGGAGAGAAGTTGTGAGGAGGAGGCGAAGAGCCCAGCTTTTCCAGCTCAAGTCAGTAAAATCTCTTCCCTCCTGGGCTGTGCAGAGAGGAGAGGCAGCTGTAAGGCGTCCTTGGTGTGCCCACTCACAAGAACTTGGAAGAGATAGAAATATCATGACAAGCCCATGGCTATGCCATTCTTTAAAACAAACAAACAAACAAACAAAAAAAAAACATAGGAACTGAAGCAACTCTATGTAGATAAAAGTTTAAAAGAATATTAAATGATGAATTATTTAAATCATTCCAATTTTTCTTTCATCTAGTGAAAGAAAATGAAAATGTACATACAAGGACATCATCAGTGTAAATTATCTATTTTATGTTTTGCTTCTTTTTTTAAAAATATACTTTATTGATTTCAGAGAAGAAGGGAGAGAAAGATCAATGATCAGAGAGAATCATTTCTTGGCTGCCTCCTGCACGCCCCATACTGGGGATCAAGCCCGTAACCTGGGCATGTGCCCTGACCAGGAATCAAACCATGACTTCCTGGTTTATAGGTCAACGCTGAGCCATGACGGCTGGGCATGTTTTGCTTCTTGTAGGTGACGTTACTTCATATAAACATTTTCATGTATTGAAATAACCAAAATGGCTGCCCCTTAAACAGCTATATTTCATATTAGTGATACTGTGTACCTGTTTGTTTTGCTATTCTTTTATTTTGAGTATTTGGGTTGCTTCCAATTTCTTAGAACTATCAACAGCAGCATTATGAATATCTTTCTATGAGTGAAAGATACTCTGATTTAGTGAATTATTTCCTTGAGGCCTGTTTCAATATGTGGAATTCCTGGGCCAAAGTTTATGAACAACATAATGGCCTTTTATATTTTACCAGTTTGTCCTTCAAAACACAATTTACCGTGTGAAGAAAATACAAGTATTGCTGTTTCCCCACAGTTCTGGGAAATTCTATATTTTATTTTTTGTTGTATTCCTCAGTATACAGTGTTACCTTAATTTCCTTCCAAAGGAGGATAACACAAGAGCAGATGATGAGATTTTCTAGCCTCTAGGAAGTCAGGTCACGTTGGGGTGACTGGCAGCTCTAGGACCCAGGACCTGGTCTTTCCTTTGTCTGCGCCCCATCCAGGGACAGGGACAGCAGTCAGGTGGCTCACAGGCCAGGGTGAGGGTGGGAGTCACGGCTGGGTGTATAAGAATTTCAAAATCTGCCAAAACCGGTTTGGCTCTGTGGATAGAGCGTCAGCCTACAGACTGAAGGGTCCCAGATTCGGTTTTGGTCAAGGGCAGCCATACCTTGGTTGCAGGCACATCCCCAGTAGGGAGTGTGCAAGAGGCAGCTGATCGATGATTCTCTCTCATCGATGTTTCTAACTCTCTATCCCTCTCTCTCCCTCTTTATATGAAAATCAATAAAATATATTTTTTTAAAAAAGAATTTCAAAAACATGCTGCTTGGCGTTCTCTGGGGTTCAGGCCTTCATGGAGCTTGAGGTCAAGTGTTTTCATGACCACATGTAATAGACAGAGAACCTGGGCTCAGGGAAGTTAAGCAGCCAGGCCAAGACAGCATGTCTCATTGTCACGTAACCTCTGAGGCCTCCGTTCTCTAGCTGTTAAGTAGGAATAGCACCCACTGACCTTGCAGATGCTGAAGGGAAGGGTGTACAGAAGCCCAGGAGTGGGTGCTGCTGGTATTCCCTAATGAGCTCCTACAAACAGTCCCGAGAATTGACGTGGTTCTGAGGCTCCAGGTTCCAGAACGCTTGCTCTACCTCATCTTGTGTTAAATGGCACGACTTACCCAGCTGGCAGACCGCATTTCTCTTTGGGATAATTTTCTGCCTCTCCTCCACTGTGATTATTTATTCCTCGCATGATTGCTTATTAAATATGGCTATAGATTTGCCCAGCGTCACAGAGCCAGTGAGAGGTGGATGTTCAACCACTGACTCATAGGTGGATGTTCAACCACTGAGGCACAACAGCCAGGCTAGAGTAGGAACTCTTATTACAGCCATTACGATGGTCATTCAACCACACACTTACGGAGGTGTTGCTGTGAAGGTATTTTGTACCTGTGATTAACATATCAGTCGGTTGGTTTTATGTAAAGGAGACTGTCCTGGATAATCTGGGGGCACTGATTACATCAGTAGAAAGGCCTTCAGAACAGAGTTGAGATTTTCCTAAGGAAGAAGAGAGCCTACAGTGGGCTGCGGCATCAGCTCCAGCTCAGGTCCCGGGCCGCCCTCCCTTCAGCCGGGCCTAGCCCGCCCCATGATCACATGGAGTCTATGTGATCATAGACCAATTTCAACTGCCCCTCCTCCCTTCCTCCACTTTCAAACATCCAATGGGTCCCCTACCCAAAATATTCTTTGTTTCCAACTCAAGCTTCCCCCTCCCCTTTCCTCAGTAAAGTATCAATCAATTACATTAGCTTAAAAAACCAAGATTTTCCCCCTCAGTCCCCATCCTGCAGCCCCAGTAGTGCTGCTGCTAGTACCCTCCACACTAAACTCTCTCTCCTTGGGCTCCGCGCTGGGCCCCTCCAGAACTCCCCCATGTTTAGAGATTTACTAGTAGGACTGGACTCAGCATAAGGTTGCACTCAGAGTAAGGTTACAGCGATGTGGTAAGAACCCAAGAGAAAAGGACACGGGAAGTCTGGAGCAGGATTTTCAGCCTCAAGGGCACAGGCGGAGGAGGCCTGGGACGTAGGGGCAGGAAAACCAAGTGCAGGGAAAGCCTGGATCACCCCTGGGCGAGTCCCAATTCCCGCCTGATAGGAGCAGGCATTGCTTCCCTTCCTCTCCCTCCCCTGCCACTCCCCCAAATAGTAGGCAGAAGTGTCTGCCCCCCAAAAAAATCTGAGACTCCTTTCGGAACACCAGCCTGAGTGCTCTCAAGGGGGCAGCTCGAGGGAAGAAAGAGGATAGAGTGAGTGGGGTCTTCTGACTTAATAAAGGGGGAAAGCTGGGCGCCTCGTTTGCTGAGGACTCCCCCTTATCCCTGGGCGGCCATGGGGCCTGGAGAGAGGAGGCCGGGCAGGCCAGGCGCCCAGCTCCAAACCCGGGCTCCGGGAGGGGGCGCCCGCCGCGGCCCAGGCCTCCCCGACGGTGTGGGCGGCCTCTGGGTCCCCGCTCTCCCCCTTTCCTCCCCTCCTCCCGCCTCGGCCCGTGCTCCCCGCGTACCTCCTCCCCGCCGTAGCGGGCCAGCTCCTCCTCCGTGAAGAGCCGCACCGGCGGTCCCCGCTCGGCCGGGCGCGGCGTCTGCCCGGCCCGGACTGCGGCCAGCCCCGGGGCCAGCGCCAGGGCCAGGACCAGGGCAAGCGCGGCCAGCGATCGCAGCCGGGGGCCCGCCATGCTGAGCGCGCCGAGCAGGGCCAGGGGACGCGGGTGGCGGGGCCCGCGCGCTCCCGTCCGCCCCCGCCCCGCGCGCTCCTGCCGCCCCCGCCCCGCAGCCCGCAGCCCGCAGCCCGGGGCTGGAGTCAGCCTGTCTGCGCCGCTGGAAACAAACTCGGATTACAGCCCAGCGCTCCTGACTCCAAACTGCGGGCTGAAAAGGGAGCCAAACAGCGACGTAGTGCAGCGGTTCCTGATGGGGTGCATCGATGCCACCGCCCAACTTTCCAGCCCGGGAAGGTGTGCAGGGGCGAGCAAAAGGAGGTGTACAGTTCGTACGGAAAAACTATTTTGCGTGCTCACAACTGTGAACCTACCTTTGTTCACCCCTGTATATACAAACTAGAACTTTCACTTTATTATGCCACTTGTACTTTGGGCTGATTCTCCTTCTTCCCAGCTGTGCTTAGATTATGGGTCCCTAAGGAGATTTTTGCAAAGGATGGGGCACGGTACAGATATGCACCGAGATAATAACCAACATTTGTGCAAGGCTTCCTTCATGAATTTATTTAGCACACACTTCCTGGTGTCCCTGGTGACATAGCCCTGACAGGACTGATCCATGTCCACATGGAGCTTGCATTCTGTGGGCAGATAGGCGAGAAGTAGGATACATAAGGAGTATGTTAGATGGCAACGAGTACGGGGGCAGAGAGGGGGGAGGATTAAGCAGGCAAAAAAACAGGGAGCATCGGGAGTTGCAATTTGAAGTTGACCAGAGAAGGCCCCACTGAGAGGATGGTATTTGTATAAAAATCTAAGGGGAGGAGGACGTTCTGGAGGGGAGAGGGATCCCTGGGAAGGGCAAGTCACAGCCATGCACATAAATGCTGAGGAAGCAGAGTGCCCTGCTTGATGGAGGAACAGCAAGGGGGCAAGAGGGCTAGGCGGTCAGCTTATTTTTAAACGACTTTGGCTTTTACACAGGGTGATCTGGAACAGAGGAATTTGTTACAATATTAACAGAATATCTGGTTGTTGTATTGAGAACAGGCTGAAGCAGAGAGTTAGCTACCACAACGATCCAGGCAAGCAATAATGGTGGCTTGTACCAGGCTGGTAGCACGGGAGGTGGGGAAAAGCTGTTGAATTGTCATATGTTTCGAAGGTGCGGCCCATAGGCTTTGCTGACGGATGAGACATGAGGCCTGAGTGGCAGAGAGGAGTCAAGGATGACCCTGAGGGTTTGGGCCTGGACTGCGAGTGGAAAGGATGCAGTTGCCACTCACTGTATGAGTGCCGGTAGGAGGAGCTAGTGTGGGGGAGAGATCAAGATGTTCGGTTAGACACTTAGATATGTCAGTGGAAGTATCAGCTGGCTGTATGAGTCTGGAATTGGGGGCTAGAGATGCACATTTCAGAATCATTGGCATGTAGAGTATATGTAAAGCCACAGAATGAAAGATTGTCAGGGAAGCACACATGCATAGGGAGAGGAGGGCACCGAGGACTGAGTTAGGAGAACTGGCAGAGGAGACCAGTGCAGGGCGTACTGTGTGCCAAACGCTAGTCCAGCACTTTGACATGTATTAACTCATGCCATCCTCACTGTAACTCTATGCAGTAAGAACTACTGTTATTGCCCCTTTTACAGAAAATGAAACTGAAGTGCAATACCTTCATACCTTAATACAGTAGGTCACAGTGCCCAGACTCGATGGAGCACAGGCCCTGTGTCCCAGAGTCTGCCCCCAACCACCAGGCGACAACCCCCCTCAGGGACTGCACCCAGTTTTCTTATTCAGCAGAATGGGCCTCAACAGGTCTGCCCACAAACCCTCTTATCTCAGTGACCACATGACTAACAGGCTGGCTGCCTCCCTGATAGGGTTGTGTTGAAACTAAGAATGGAAATGGATGCGAAAGGTGGTGTGAGCTGCGGTGTGCAGTATACATGTCCCACTGTGTCACAGGTGCTGCAGGCTCAAAGAGGCCCTTCTAAACCCTTGAATAGAACATCCTCTCCTACCTGCTGCATTCCGTGCCCTGATAACATCTCTGGCTACACTGTGCTACTTCTCTGCTCAAACCCTTTATCTCTCTACAACCCTCCCTGTTAGGAACCCCTTTGAGTCCCAAGATACTCCCTGTAATTCCTTCTAATCAGATCTAGCGTCCCCCTCCCTAAGATGCTGAGTAAAGTCTGTAACTTCATAGCCTGCTCCTATGCCCCACCTCGGAGTCCTCCAGGCACCCCACTGGTTGACCTTGTCTTCTTGAACCCAGGTTTGTTTTTCCAAACAAATCAGTTAGTCGCCTGCAAGGGAAATAGAAATTGTTCTGAGTGAAACAGTGGCTGTAAGGCAGGGAGTCGGTTACATAGGTGACAGAGAGTCTGAGAAGCAGCCCTGAGATTAGCAGCCATGGGAAATTTAGCAACATCCTGCCAGTCAAGAGGAGAGGAGATGATATTAGAGTCTGGGGGCCTGGGTTATCTGGCTGAAGCTAGAGCCACAAAAAAGCAGGGACTGGGGCCATGGAGGAAAGCTGCGAGGGCAACAGCAAGGGAAAGAGAACCCTGGCTGCTCCCTGGCCCTGACCCCCTCCAACCTCTCAGCAATGCTTCCCCTCAATCAACCCCCCGTGGAAACCCAGCCTGCAGGGCCAGTCCCTGCAACCCAGAGCTGAGAGGCGAAGACCTGGTCTGAGAATGAACAAGCCCAGGACCAGCACAGCCCAACCTCCAGGACCTGGCTGCTCCCACCCCCCTGACTGTCTCCTGTGTGGCTCCATACGTCCCCTCCAGGCACCTTGCTTTCTGCTTGGGCTCCAACCTGGGCCTTTGTGTTGTACTGGTGCCTTCTTCCTGGGGTGCAAGTCATCATGGCTGGCCCCTTCCTGCCATCCATGTCTCAGCTCACAAGTCACTACCCTCCTGAGGCCTCTCTTGACACTCAAGAGAGAGATCAGCACCTCGCCCCACTGCCTATCGGGCTCTATCATATACCCCTTTAAATTTTCTCTAGAGCTTTTGGCACTATGTGGAATTATTTTGCTTATTCAAAGGACTGTTTAAGTACCAATAAGTGTCAGGCACTGGGACACAACACTGAATAAAACACATAAGAACCCCACCTTTGTGGTAATTACATTCTAGTTGAGGAAGACTAGAAATAACTGAAAGTCAGAAGGTGGTACATTCTCTGGAGAAAAATAAAGCAGAGTAACTCTTAGCAATGGGGCTTGCTGTTTCCACAGGATGCTTAGAGGAGGCACCACTGATAAGATAATATTTAAAGAAAGAACTGAAGGAAGTGAGGAAGTGAGTCATAGATATCCAGGATAAGAGCATCCCAGGGGCCAGAACAGCCAGTGCAAAGGCCGCTAGGCTCCTCATGTGGAGGCTGAGAGTAAGGGGTGGAGTAAAGGTGGGGGCTGCTGGACAGCTCCTAGTGGGCCATACAGGTCCCTGTGAGGACCTTGGCTTTGTGGGGTTGGAGCAGAGAAGTGACATCATGTGGCTTGGTTTAGCAGGTTCTCACTGGCAGCTGTGTTGGGAACAGAATGCAGGGTACAAAGGTGGAAGGAGAGAGCAGCTAACAGGTGACTGGAAGTGGTCCATGAGAAGCTGGTGGTGTTGGTGGCAGTGGTGAAATATAGTCAGATTCTGAGTAAGTGTTTAAAGGAGAGCCCGCAGGACTTGCTGATGTAGATGGGGAGTGTCAGAGAAAGGGAAAGACCAAAAATGACTGCGGATTTTGGTTGGAGCAAATGGGAGGATGGTGTTTATGATAGTGAGAAAGATCTGGGAAAGGAACTTGCTTTGAAACTGGCAATAACCAGAAACACTAACACACTATTTACGATGTGGCAGATGGTGTTCCAAGTACTTGACATCAGGTGACTCAGTTAACTCTCATTTGTATCAATAGCCTATAGTAAAATTGGCTTCCATTTATGTTGTTTCACTTAGAGTCACAGATGATATTAATTGAGGGCTCCCTGAATTCCCATTTTCCGTATGAAGTAACTGAGACACAGAGAGAGAAAGTGCCCAAGATCACAGAGCTGGAGAGTGGCACAGCTGAGACTTAGGACCAGGCAGTCTGGTTTCTGGGTCCATGTTTCAAGTAGCTCCCCTCTGCTGCTGCCCCGTGAAGAAGGTGCCAGGCAGCTGGACGAGTGAGCCTGGGCTCAGGGGAGACTGGAGGAGTTATTCATTTGGGAGTTATACAGTTGGGAAGTGTATCCGTTTCCTGGACTGTGCCATAAACTAGACTGCTTAAAATAACAGAAAGTTATTCTCTCGCAGTCTGGAGGCTACAAATTCAAGATAAAAATATTAGCAGGGTCAGGCTTCCTGTAAGACTGGATAGAATGCTTCCTTGCCTCTCCCTAATCCCTGGTGACGGTTTCTTGGCCCAGGATGGAGCTTGGCCTCCCAGGCCATGACCTATAACCACAGGTCATGATTGAAGCCACCTTGGCTCACAGCTGCATCACTGCAGTCTGCTTCTGTCATCACAAGACGTTTTCTCTGTGTCTCTCTTTACATCACCTTACGTCTTTTTGTAAGGACACGAGTCCTAAGATGTGCAGCGACCTCATCTTGACTAATTACATCCACAACAATCGTATTTTCAAATAAAGTCAGATGCTGAGGTACCAGGGGTTAGAACTTCAACATGTCTTTTTGGGGGACATCGTTCAGTCCATATCAGGAATCTTTAGAGTATAGATGACAATTCAAACCATGAGAATAGAGAAGACCATTTCACTAGACAAGACCCTAGGAAGTAAGTAGAAAGGAGATCAAAGATCTAGTTTAAGCATTGCCACCTGTAGAGTTGAAGCAATGAAGACAACCCAGCAAAGACTGAGAAGGAGTGACGAGTGAGGCAGGGTTCTGTAAGCCGAGGGAGGAAAGTGTACAAGGAAGGGGGACAACCAACTGAGACCATCACAGCTGATAGGTGAAGAGAAAGGAGGGTGGGGAGATGGCCATCTGATCTGACAACTCAGAGGCCATTTGTGACCATGACAAGCACGTCAGTGGATGGAACAGCATGAAAACCTGATTGGTGTGTGTTTGAGGGAGTGGAAGGAAGGGATCTGGGACAGCAAGGACAGAAAATTCTGTTTGTTTCATGTCTCTCTACTCCAACATGGAGTTGCCACAAGGGAAAGGGCCTTGGAGTAACCCATTCATTATCCCAGTGTCCAGCACATTGTATTTGATAAGCCATGCTGAATACTGTGCTAGTCACCATCTCCTTCAAATATGGAGCTCGCCATTTTCCAGTTTGGTCAGATCAGCAAAGATAGAGAGGAATAATAGGGCTGGACTAGAATTCTCTGGATCCTTCCAGCTCTAAAATTCTGTGATTCTGTGAGTTGTTCTATCAACCACCCTTGTATTAGTACAGTGAAGAAATTGTTGGTTGTTCATTGCTATTTGTTTTGGCAAGAGAAATGTTAAATGTAATGGCTGGAATGAGTGTTCTGGTCACAAATATAACATGTTTGTTGAGTGCCTACAATGTGTTAGGTGCTATATGCATCCTCACATTGAATAGATGTGGGGGCAGAGAGCCTGGGGTGGGGGTGGTTAGTCAGAAGAGATGATGGAGGTATTTCAATGCTAATGTACTGGGAGGCCCAGGGTGCTCTGATGGGGTTGGTGCTACTGTGGTGTCGCTGAGGAGGGGAGAGGATCTGAGTGCAGCAGGTGGCAGAGCTGCAGCTGCTGGTGACACAGAGCAGCATTCACCAAGGCATAAGCAACCTTTATCTGCTTCCCCACTAAGCAGCCCAGGGCGGCCACACAGAACAGCTGTTCAGGCAATGAGGAGGAGGCGGGGGTCCCAGGTCACCCTGCCACAGGGCAAATGCCCAATTCTCCACCAAATTCAAGGAGTGAGGCTTCTGCCATGATGAATAGTGCCTTGGATTTTTTTCCTGCCTGATCTATTTTGGCTCTCAGAAAGCCATGTGAAGCAGGACAGGGTTAGCAGTTGCATAAAGTGAGGAGAGGAACGCTCATCGAGCATTACAAAACCTGAGAGAGAGGAGCGGAGCCAGGACAAGAATCTGAGGTGCTGAATCCAAGCGACTGCCCAGAAATAATGAAAAGAACTTAGGTTCTATAGTCCATTCCTGGATTAAATAATCTTCACTTGATCACTGCTCTCCCCGCCATCCTTTCTGTAAAACAGGGAGAAAATGTCCCTCTTACAGGACGTCTTGGTAGGATCAAGGGCATTAAATGCGTGAAAGTGCCTTTAACATACAAAGTGTTCTCTAGATATTTACTATTGTTATAACCTTCCTCTTGCAATTATAGATTAGGCTCTCCTACCCATCTGACCTGGGGCCCCTTGTTCCACTTTCCAGTAAGTCTCTGTACCTCCCCCTTGAACAAAGAGAGGAAGTGAGGGGGGAAAAAAAGAGAGCACATGCTTCTAACGCCAGAGTTGTGCCTGGTTCTGAGTAAGCGCAGGCTTCGCTGAAGCTTGGGTGCTGAGGAGTGCCCTCCGTGCGGAACTACATTTCCCAGCAACCCTTTCGCGGCCCCAGCTGAGGCTGGAGCAAGACGCATGCGCCGAGTGCCTCCCCCGCTAGGTCTCGGCCCCGCCCCCGAGAACGCGTAGCACCTCGCGGAGCCGGCAGCTCCGGGCGCTGAGGCTGCGGTTCTCGCTCCGGGGCGTAGCGGGCTCTGGCGCGCCTTAGCTCCGGTCAGTGCCATGATCCGGCAAGAGCTCTCCACATCCTACCAGGAGGTACCAACCTTGGCTGGGCAGGGGCGGAAACTAAGTTTCCTATGTAGCGGAGGAGCGGGTCCCGGGAGTATGGGAATCTGTGCGGGAGGGGGGCGGGGGGCGTCGGGGCGGCTGCGGAGGAGCTCGTGAGTGCGTCGAGATTGGGGCTCCCGCGTGCAGAAGGGTCCCCCATGCAGAGGAGGGGCAGAGCAGGCAGGAAGTGGCCGGATGCGGCCGTCGCTTCGCCGGAGCTGCCCCCCCTCCTAATTCCCCGGAGCCGCGATTCGTAACCAGCAGGTGAATGGTTAGAGCCGCGGCGGGCCGGGCGGGACCGGCTTGGCCTCGGGAACCCCTGTTGTTTGCAACAAGTGGGAGTGCCTGCTCCCTGCTGCCCGCTAGGGTGGATGCGCGGTGGGCATCAGCCCTCCTCCAGCCCCAGGCCTCATGGCCCCTGCAGCTGTTAATGATAGGGATTATTACGTCTTGTTTTGGTGGCCGCCTGACTTTGAGAGTATGCTTTCACCCAATAGGAGCTTCTCGCTCACGCTTCTTCTCCGCTCGCACCTCCTCCCACGACTTTAACGATCACTTTCCAGTTCTTTGTCTCTTGCTTGTCTGTCCTGAGCCAGCTTTCCCCTCAAACCAGCTTTTCCTTCTGATTCCTACTGCGACTAGTGAACTGCTCTCCTCCTCCTCCTTCTCCTTCTCTTTCTCCTCTCCTCCAATTCGCAAGCCCCAAATTTCGGTCATCTTCTTCTCCCCCCCCCCTCCCCTTGGTCTCCCCACGCTGTGAGTGTGCAGGTTCGCTTTGAGGTCCTGCCTTGATCCCAGAGCGTTCCTTTCCCCCATACACCTAATGCTGCCCTTGGTCTACTCAGAACTGCCCAAACTTCCCAGCAAGCTTTAAAAGCTCTGCAGCTGTATCCCCCATTGCCTTCACCATCTCCTCACCCACCCAGGTTCTGGCCGCACTTGGAAGCTCACTGTTTAAAAATGTGCTTCTGCTTTCTGGCCTCTATGCCTCTGTTCACACCACTTCTCCTTTAACCCCTTCTCAAGCTCCATTGATTACTAATAAAATCCCCCAATCATTCAAGGGGAGAGTCTCAAATCCCACATGCTCTTTGGAGACTGACTTCCCCTACTAGTCTGGCATGCTGCCTGTCCTTTTCAGGAAACTTGCTGCTGTATTGATCAGTATGATGTCCATGTCTTCATTTGTCAGTGACAGTGTGAAGTATACAAAGCAGGTGGCTTAGCCCTGTAGGAGAGGAAGCTAATTGCAGTCAGATGAGATTTGCCTGAGACTGGCTGGCCATGTGTTAGCGTTAGAGCTGGGCTAGAATGTGACTTTGGGACAACTTTTTATATTTCTCCTACCATCATCTTTATCCCACCTCTTCCTTTTATCCAAACGGGGTTTTAACCAGTGAGTGGATTCTCTGATTCCATGTCCTGGACAGTGGGGGAATCCAGGGGAATGAGTTGTGTCTTTCCCTGGCTCTGATAGTTTTCAGGTTTATAGGGAGGAGACCATAGTGGATAAATACTAGGACTTTGATGTAAAAAAGTCCATGTTCTATCTGGGCTCTAACTCTTGCTGTTTGTGTGACTTTTATAAAGTCATTTAACTTCTCTCAGTCTGTTTCTTTATCCGCAAAATGAAGGTAACGGTAGGCCGAGGGTTTGAGAGTTAGATGATTGATATGTGGGAAGTGCTTGGCTCAAAGCCTGGCAGGTGAATGGAATAATAGCTCTTGTTAACAGTGTGTGTGTAGCTCCTGCTTCTAGGCAGCTCTGGTGCCCCTGTTTACGGGATCACGCCCCTCACCATCTACAGGCAGCCTGCAGTATCTCCTCCCCTAGCAGGGCTCCTAAGATGCTGATTAAAATTAGGCAGTTATCTCGCTTGCAGGGCAAGGCCAGAGGTATCTGGGGGCGCCTCCACGGTGCAAGGACGCCTCTCCTTTCTTGAGTGGCCTGTGTTGCAATCCCCATCTCTCGCCTTGAAAAGTGGCCTGCCGCTTTCTTCCCTGGATCATCCACGCTTTTAGGTTTCTTTGCCGAGTGGAGATTTTGGCTTCAGGGGATGGGGCATGAGAAATCGTCTGGGGCAGGCCAGAAAGTGGGCTCCACACAGCTGCAGGCAGTGAAGAGGGGAATTGGGTGGGGAGAGTGTTGCCCGCTGGCTCAGGCGGCACTGATGCTTGGAGTAGGGAATGTGGGCCTTCCTGGGCCTGACGTCCTCTCTTCCCTTTGCCAGTGAAGGCTCCTGGGACCTCCCACCAGCAGCCCGAGTCTCACAGTGACTTCTTTGGCCTCCCAGCCCTCTTCCACCTTTTCTTTTCTTTCTTTTCTTTTGGGACTGGAGGGCTTTAAAATGAGTTTTACAACCATGGGGCAGGAGTGGAGGCACGGAGAGGGACCTGCAACAATAATAGATGCATAGGGCTTTATTTAACTCAAGTTTCTTGGAGGTGAATTTTTAAAATATGTTTTTGTTACCTTCTTTAGAGGGGAAGGGAGAGGGATAGAAAAATTGATGAGAGAAACACTTTCTGCACACGCCCTACTGGGAATTGAGCCCACAGCCCAGTTGAACCTCTTGGTGACTTAGATGCTCAACCACTTAGCCCCACCGCCGGCTGGAGATGAATTTTAATGGCGATATCCTGAGACCCTAGACATTTACAATGTGGATGTAAGAAAATATTAGGAATAGCTCTCCCCTCCTCCTTTCATCCCAGTGCAGTGATAGCTCCTCCTCTCTCTCTGGTCTTGAGCTCTCCTACCACCCCCTCCCCCAATGCTCCAGAGACTTGTTGGTTATCGTTGCATCCTTTCTGCCAGTCTCCTCGGCATCATTTCCCCCATTTGACAGGTGAGAACACTGATGGAGCGAGGTTGAGGTTGCCTGCTTATCGTAGGCAGCTAATGAGTATCTGCCCCTGAAATGGACTGGCCCCTCCCACTTTGTTCTGCCACGTGCTGCTGCGTCAGTGAACTTTGGCCAGAGTCCTGGAGAGCTCTGACACCCCCTTCGCTGTTCCCTCTTCTTGCTCAGCAGGCTCCAAGCTGCATTTCCTCCTCCTCTGGGAAGTGGTTAAGATCATGGGCTTTGGAACTAGGCCAACTTGGATTTGACTCTTGCACCTATGGCCATGAAAAGTGATGTGTTGAATTGTGTCCCATCCCCCACCCCCAAAAGTGTTGGAGTCCTAACCCCCAGTACCTTAGAATGTGGCCTTGTTAGGAAACGGGTCATTGTAGGTGTAATTGGTTAAGAGGAGGCCATACTGGAGTAGGGTGGGCCCACACGCAGTGTGAAGGGTGTCCTTATACAGAGATGACCATGGGAGAAACAGACTCAGTGCGACGATGGGGACACAGATCGGAGATGGGTGCAGCCCTCAAAAGGAGCACAGGTTCTGGCCATTATCAGAGCTGAGAGAGAGGCAGGGAAAGTCCCCTCCCAGCCCTCAGGAGGCACAACCCCGCTGGAACTCTGAGGGAGCACGTGTCTGTTGTTTGAAGCCACCAGTTAGTGGAGTTTGTTAAGGCATCTCTAGGAAATGAATATACAGGAAGTTACTTGCATTTTCTGGGTTTCAGAATTGGTAGGACATCCTACTATGTGTTTTTTTTTTTTTTTTTTTTGTGTGTGTGTGTGTGTGTGTGTGTGTGTGATGATTAAGGCGAGAAACAGCTTCTGCTTTCTTAGTCTACGGAAAATCAAGGCTGATGTGGCTGACCTGTTTGCCCTCTTTGTCTTCCTTTAGCTGAGTGAGGAGTTGGATCAGGTGGTTGAGAATTCAGAACGGGCCGACTTGCAGGAAAAGGAGGCAGTCAGAGTCCAGGGTTCCGGAATCTTACCAGGTAAGTGGGCTCAGTGCTGGGTGGGAGGGTGGGAAAACAGTGGGTGCTGCTGCTGCAGCAGGAAGCCCCGGGCCGGGTACCTGGCCTGTGGGTACGGTGGCAGAGGAGGCCCCTGTTTGTGCCTGGTGTCAGATCTCAGGTGGTGCCCTAGTTTAAAGCTATATGTGTTTAACCAGCCTCCGGACAGAGGCTGTGCCTAGGCCCGTGTCTACTCTTCTCTGTGCTCTGTGTGAGCCAGTCCCTGAGGCCAGGTCTTCGGGTGTCAGCTCTTCTGTTAGTTTCCCCCTGAAAAGCAGGTAGTACCTGAGCCCCCCGAAATCTGGGTCACTTCCCAGAGCCTTCTGGAAGAATATCTAATAGGCACCTCTCCGATATCAGGTCTCTCCAGGATAGTTAGCCAGCCGGGCGAGCAGGGCCTGTCAGTCAGGTGACCTCTTACAGAGCCTTGTAGGAAACTCTGACGTCGCTGACCACTTCTTCCTCCCCTGCCTCAGCCACTGCTTGCTCACATGTACCTGCCATGCTCACATCTCTAGCCCAACGGTGATTGATAAACTCGGGACTTATTTATCCCGTATATCCACATGCCCAGGTGGTAGCTCTGCTCAGCTGTTCCAGAGGCACCCTAAACTCCACACATCCAGCATTTCCAGCATCACCCTCGGGATCTCCCCACTTGATCCTCGTCCAGTGTTTCCTGTTTCCCAGATTTTCTTAGAGAGGAGGGAGGGCACCACCACCCACCCAATTGAACCAGGAGTCATTCTTTTTCCTTCCTTCCCTTCTTCACCATTTCCTCTGCCTCTTAGCTGTGCCTGCCTTCTTTTATCTTTCACTCATTCCCTCCCACCATCGGAGGGAATTCCTCTTCCTGGAGTTCTCTTCCCTCCATCACCTAGTGGATGCCTAATCATTCTTCAGCTCACTCCTTGTTTTCTACAAAGCCTTCTGTGACCTCCCAACTAGGTCACTTCCACCCTCACACACTGTCACTGTATAGCCTGGGCACCGCTCCCTTGTAGCTGTCACTGATAGGATGGTGTTTTTGTTTGCCTGGCTGAATAGTGTCTATTTTACCCAATGTAAGCTCCCTGATGGTGGAGACCAGTCTGTTTTGCTCACTGCTTTAGCCCTTGCCATGTAATAAAGATTTGTCAAATAGATGAATAAGTGAACGAAGGCTCAGTCAGACTCTAGCTTCTTGGGTGGATAGGGGGAGGTGGGATTCTGCTCCTCTTCATTCCTGTATTGGTAGGGGAGGAGAACTGGACAGGAAATTCTGTGGTTGTGTCTAATTCTAGAGAAGACTTCGGAGAAGGAAGGAGGCTGGAAGGGCAGCTGATGTTTACTGATTGTGACTTCTGGGCCAGCCACTGTCATGGCCATTGCCCCAAGGTTCAATAGTGTGGGAAGATCATGTGGCTGGTAAACAAGCAGACTGAGTCAAGTTCCTTCTGACTCAAACTCTTTCTGCTGCACCAGTGGTTTTTTAAAAAAGAAATGTTTAATGCATCCTTTTACTAAAGCCCAGTATATAAAAGGTAGGTAGTCAGAGTGCCCCCACTCTGACTCTAGGCACTGCGTGGGGAGAACAGTTTAAAAGCCTTGAATGTTAGGGCCTATGTTTCTGTAACAAATGACCACAAACTTAGTGGATTATAACAACACAGACGCCTTGCAGTTCTGGAGGTCAGAAGTCCCAAATGGGTCTCCCCGGGCTACAGTGATGGTGTGGGCCGGCCTGCGTTCCTTCCCGGCGGCTCCGGGGGGGACTTCTGTTCCATGGACTTCCCAGCGCTAGAGGCTGCCGGAGTTCCCTGGCTTGTGGCCCTTCTTTCATCTTCAAACAGCAGTGGCGGACCGAGTCTTTTTCACATATTTTCATTCTGCCACTGACTTGTGCCTCCCTGATCCACATTTAAAGAGTCCTTGTGATTACATTGAGTGTACCCAGATATTCCAAGATAACATTGTTTTAAGGTGTGTGAAGATCAACTTTAATCCCATCTTTCCACCTTCATTTCTCTTTGGTGTATAACTGGACGCTTTTACAGGTTCCAAGGATTAGGATTTAGGAACCTTAGGTAGGCCATTATTCTGCCTACTGTATCCTGCACTGTCCTCTTGCCTCCAGTTAGGAGGGGACAGATCTAGGCAGCAGGAAGAGGGGGGAGGGCATACTGTGAAAGATGAAGTTTTGTTCCTATAGATAAATGTGCACATGGTTGATAATAAGCACATGAAAAGATGCTCAGCACCATTAATCATCAGAGAAACGCAAATTTAAACCAGAAGGAGATACCACTTCAACCTACTAAGATGGCTACAATCCATAAGATGAACCATAACAAGTTTTGGTGAAGATGTCAGGAAATTAGAGCCCCCGTACATTGCTGGTGGGCATGTAAAATGGTGCAGTTGCTGTAGAAAACAGCCTGGCAGTTCCTCAAAAGATTAAATACGGAGTTATCCTGTGACTCAGCAATTCCAATCCTAGGTATATATCCAAGAGAAATGAAAACTTGCATCCACACAAAAACTTGTATAAGAATGTTCATAGCAGCATTAATCGTAATAGCCAAAGGATGGAAACAACCCAGGTGTCCACCAACTGAAGAATGAATAAACAGTATGTTAATATAGAGAGATGTTTCTTGGCAATAAAAAGGAATGAAGGACTGATTATGCTATGACATGGATGAGTCTTGAAAACATTAAATGAAAGAAGTCAGACCCAAAGGCCACATATTGAATGATTCGTTTATGTGACTTGTCCAGAATAGTAGATTATTGGTTAGCAGGGACTAAGGGAAGGAGGAAGGACTACTAAAGGGTATGGGGTTTCTTTTTGGGTCTTGAAAATGTTCTGTCATTAGATAATGGTGATGGTTGCACACTTGTGAATATACTAAAAACTGAAATATATTCACATTTAAAAGGTAATGGTATGTAAATATATCTAGAAAAATCAAAGCCAAAACAATCACTAAATCGAAGAAGAGACAAAAAATTCATTCCTTCTTCGCACTCAGAATACACCCTTGCCCAGTGTTTTCTGCAAGGTAGGGCTTCCCAGGGGTATGGTAGCCAACCAGTTCTCCTTCCTCTGAACAGAAAACCCAGCTTGTTTTCAGAAAGTGAATTGCTCATCACAGATCCCCTTAATGGCCAGATCACTGTCTGGGAAGTGTAGGTTTTTGAAGCAGTTGTGTTGCAGATTTTACAAAACTCAAATGTTACCCTTTTTCAAGAAAATCTTGTGCATTATTTTTATCTTGCTACTACATCAAGTTTATATTCATATAAAAATATAATTTAAAAATTATTTTCTGTTACAGTTTGTATTCAAAACTATTTTGTGCTAGTTTTAGGTATACAGCAGAGAGACATTCATACAGGTTACAGAGTGTTCCCTTGGTAACTCAAGTGCCCACAGTAGTTATTACAGTATTGTTAACTATAATCCCTAAGCTGTACTTTACACCCCCATGTTTGTTTTGTAACTAGCAATTAGCACTTCTTAATCCCATCACCTTATTTCACCCTGGCCTCTAATCCCCACCCCTCTGGCCTCTGTCAGTTTGTTCTCTGTATCTATTCTATAAGTGTTTCAATTTTGTTTGTTAGTTTATTTTGTTCATTAGGTTCCACGTATGCTATTTGTCTTTCTCTGGCTTATTTCACTTAGCATAAGACCCTCTAGGTCCATTCATGCTGTTGCAGATGATAAGAGTTCATTATTTTTTTTGTGACCAAGTAATACAGTAAAACCTTGATATAAATGACTAATTCAAGCGGAGTATCCATTGAAGCCTAAACTTCATTATATAATAACTAGAGGCCCAATGCATGAAATTCGTGCAAGAGTAGGCCTTCCTTCCCGGCTGTGGGTACCAACTTCCCTCTGGAGCCTGAGACCTGGGCTGGCTTCCCTCTGGCCGCCGCCAGGCACCCAGACCTGAGCTTCTGTCCAGAAGTACATCCAGTCTAATTAGCATATTACACTCTTATTATAATAGAAGTAGGTTTCCTTGTGCATATGTTAAACAATTGACAAAATAGCTTACCTCTTTTACTTATGTAGACATGTTTGTGTAATTAAATGTAAGTATGTATGAAAAGTTTAATTCCACAGAAAAGTTTTCTGTCTGTATTACTGTAATTTTAAATGTATACTGAATAGGTCTAGTAAACGCGTGCATTCACCAGTCACCAAGAATGAACAAATGCAGACAACTGGGTGTGGCTTAGTGCACCTGGGAATAACGGGGCACGCATTAAAAGTGCTGCAGGCTGATGCGGTATGATCACGTGCTAATCATTTCCTGAATATTGTTTATTAGTGGTGACTCTTGGATTTAAGTATGTATAGTCATAGATATGTAATACTTATTTACGTCAGTGAAATTACAGTTTTTTTCCAACATATGGTCATTCGCTAAAATTTGTTAAAAATAACAATGAATAACAAAAAAACACACTGTTAATTTAATTATAAACAAATCTTGGTTAAAAGCATTTTAAAATTAACAGGATGTTAATTTTCACAGATGACATCTGGACCGGAAATTTTGTCTTTTAAATCTCAAGTCCATTAAATCGAGGGTTTACTGTATTCCCTGGTGCCACTGCTTTTTTAACTATTTGTCTACTGATGGGCACTTGGATTGCTTCCCATTCTTGGCTATGTAAATGATGCTGCAGTGAACAGAGGGTGCATATATGCTTTGGAATTAGTGTTTTCGGTGTGTTCAGATATATACCCAGAGGTGGAGACGCTGGGTCATAAAGCGGTTCCATTTTTAATGTTTTTGAGGAACCTTCCCACTGTTTTCCATAGTGGTGGCACCATCTGCATCCCCTCAGCAGTGCACTGGGGCTCCCTTTTCTCAGGACCCTCCCCAGCACTTGATTTATTAATGATAGCTTTTCTGACAGGTGTTAGTGGTATCTTACTGTGGTTTTAATTTCCCTTTCTCGGATGATTAGTGATGATGATT